AGAAATCTTATTATGAAGTAATATGATAACCTTAAAATGTTAGATATTTACAACTTGTAGCTTGTTTAATGTGATGATTTCATTTTTATTTATTTTTTTATTTTTTGGATCCTAATATTGTTGTTGTTGCTTTCTGATATTTTGTTTGTTGTTAAAGACACATTTCAAACATTTTGAAGAGGGGTTCCAGTGTTTCCCCTAGTTAACTTGCCATGGCTGGGTGCTCATCTCATCCATGATTTTTGTTGATGGGAGGGACGGACACGTCTGAGTGCGCTTGTACAACATTTTTTGAGTGGGGGTGGGGGTCAGAATGAGGGAAGAGGCGCCTTTAGCTTAGTGCAACACGTTTGAGCTGTGCACTGTTTGTACAGACAGTTTTTGAGTTGGGGGTGGGGGGTGTCAGCGTGAGAGACGATGCCTTTAGTTTTGTAGCTAGAGCGCTTGTATCGTGCGCTGCTAGCTTGGCACTATGTCAGTGCCAGAGTTGTGTGTGTGTGTGTGTGTGGGGGGTGGGGTGTTGGTAGGCAGGGTGCTCAATTCTATTGACAGGGTGGGGCACCCTGCTTGTATAATTTTAGGGAAACACTGGGTTCTGTGGAAAGGTTATGAGCAATTAATATTTTACCTCTTACTCCTGCTTGAATCGCCACCTTATCGTGGTGGAGGAGTTTGTGCGCCTGAATGATCCTAGGAGCTATGCTGTCGGGGGCAATTATAATTGCCCCTGGTAGGGTCTCCCAAGGCAGATTAGTCCTAGGTGACAGGCCAGACAAAGAGAGATTCGGAAGATTTTATGGTCATGACACAGCAAGGAACTCTGTGTCCCTTGCCCGGACGTGGGTTACCCGGGCTCCACCCTGGAGCCAGGCCTGTGGGAGGGGCTCATCGGCGTACGCCTGGTGACCGGGTCTCTACCCATGGGGCCCGGTCAGGACCTGGAAGGAGCAGCATGGGTTTGCCTTCCTGTGGACCCACCACCTGCAGGAAGGGCCATAAAAATCAGGTGCATGATGCTATGGGCAGTGGCCGAATGGGGGGACCTTGGCGCTCTGACCCTGGCTTTACAAAGCTGGCTCTTGGGACATAGAATGTAACCTCTCTGGCAGGGAAGGAGCCTGAGCTTGTGCGTGAGGTTGAGAGATACTGACTAGATATAGTTGGGCTCACCTTGACTCACAGCATGGGCTCTAGAACTGATCTCCTTGAGAGGTGCTGGACCTTATTCCACTCTGGAGTTGCCCATGGTGAGAGGCGTTGAGCTGGTGTGGTTCTACTTGTAGCCCCCCGACTTGGTGCCTGTGTGTTATAGTTTTCCCCGGTAGATGAGAGGGTGTCTTTCCTTCGCCTTCGGGTGGGGGAGACAGGTTCTGACTGTTGTTTGTGCCTATGCGCTGAACTGCAGTTTCAGAGTATTCGGCCTTCTTGGAGTCACTGGCAGGGGTGCTGGAAGGTGCGCCAGCTGGGGACTCCTTTATTCTGCTGGGGGACTTCAATGCTCACGTGGGTGTGACCTGGAGGGGAGTGCTTGGGAGGAGCGGCCTCTCTGATTTGAACCCGAGCGGTGTTCTGTTGTTCGACTTCTGTGCTACTCATAGTTTGTCCATCACAAACACCATGTTCGAACATAAGGGTGTCCATAAGTGCACTTTCATTCAACCTTTATTTAGACGGGTAAATCCCATTGAGCCTCGAGGACTCATTTACAAGAGAGACCTGATTTCAACAAAGAAAGATGACAACAATGGACAACAGCGACAACAATAAACAGTTATAAAAAGTCATACTCCAGTTTTATTTTATTTTTTTTAAACAAATAGGATGGCTAAAAAAAAGTAACAAAAAACAGCTAGATTCTAAGGCGAGCACGGGGCACCAGGACACCCTAGGTCGTAGATCGATGATAAACTTCATAGTCGTGTCATCTGATTTGCGGCCGTTTGTTTTGGACACTTGGGTGAAGAGAGGAGCTGAGCAGTCAACTGATCACCACCTGGTAGTGAGTTGGATCAGATGGCGGGGGAAGATGCTGGACAGACCCAGTAGACCCAAACGTGTAGTGAGGGTTTGCTGGGAACACCTGGCAGAAGAACTCGTCAGAAAGATCTTCAACTCAACCCTCCGGGAGAGCTTTAACCACATCCTGATGCATGCTCAATAATCCAGGTAGAAAAATCTAAAAAAGTTAAATCTGGTCCTCTGGACATTCAAAAAAACAAAACAAAGCAAAACAACAAAAAATGTAGAAACGTTTCGTCTCTCATCCGAGAGACTTCCTCAGTCTGAGGAGCTGTATTCAGCTCAGTCTCTTAAATAGCACCTTCTCAGAGTGGATCAACCAGTTTGCTGCTGACAACCAGAACCAGCTGATCACATGCTCAAGAAAGACCATCAGCCTAACAATGGATCATTAGCACACTGATGGCTGTTTACTATTCACAGAGGGCTGAGTGATACTAGCAATCACAGCATTGTAAGAGGGGGACAGTTGAACCCGGAGGCTCCACCCCTGTTTAACGATGGACGATTTCTTTTCACAAAGATGGCCTCCTTTACTCCTCTCTCAAACCATCGTTCCTCTCTATCCAGGATGTGCACATCTTCATCCCTGAAAGAGTGACTGCTGGCCTGGAGATGAGTGTATACCGCAGAGTCCTGGCCTGATGATGTTGATCTTCTGTGCTGGTCCATCCTTTTGGCCAGTGGCTGTTTAGTTTCCCCAATGTAAGACTGATCACAGCCCTCCTGACACTGAACAGCATACACAACATTACTCTGTTTGTGCCGGGGGACTGGATCTTTGGGATGAACCAGTCTTTGCCGTAATGTATTTTGGGGTTTAAAAGCCACTGGGACGTTGTGTTTAGAAAATAAACGTCTCAGTTTCTCTGATGCTCCCTCAACATATGGAATGACCACTGGTCTGGGTCTGGGTTCCTCCTTTTCACCTGTTGGCTGACTGGAGTCCTGTTTGGGTTTCTTCTCTGCTTTCAGGAAGGCCCAGTTAGGATATCCACATTGCTCTAGAGCCTGTCTTGTGTGGGATTTCTCCTTCTGCCTGGCTCCTGAGCTAGTGGGGATGCTGTCTGCTCTGTGGTACAGAGTCCTGATGACTCCTAACTTGTGCTCCAAAGGGTGATGGGAGTCAAACTGCAAATACTGGTCTGTGTGGGTGGGTTTGCGGTACACCTCAGTTTGCAAATGTCCTCTATCAGAGACTGAGACCTCACAGTCCAAGAAAGCCAACTTGCCATTTTTTACATCTTCTCATGTGAACTTGATGTATTTATCCACAGAGTTGATGTGGTCAGTAAAATGTTGGACTTCCTGAGATTTGATTTTAACCCAGGTGTCGTCAACATACCTGAACCAATGACTTGGTGGTGTCCCTGAAAAGGCTATCATGAACTAATCAATTGAAAGAACACTCTCTTTTTTATATTATCATTACTATTTTACAATATCTTGATAATCAAAAGTGTGTTTAGTTCATACCATTTTTAAATGTTGAAGTGAACTACTCATTTTAAATCAACTGTGAAACAGTATTAATGATTTTTTTAATCCTCATTTAAATTAGAAATCAAGTTAAATG